GCACAGCATCCCCTGGAAGTGAGGTGATTTATTCGGGCACCACAGGGAGTGATTTCACGTGGGCCTCGCAAGTGGGGTCAGCTGAACGAGATGGCCTGACTCAGGCACCAGGTCTGGGGATAACAAGTGAGGATCTGCTCAATGGCAAAACATGGCTATCTATTCAACGCATTGTAAGATTTTATGGTGTATGCAAAAGAGTTGCCATGGAGTGTTGGAAACTCAGATTTATAATGGCACCTTAAACCTGGGTCACAGCTGCAACCATGCAATGTCTGTCCACTGGAGTTTGGACCTGGGTATCTTCCAATGCCACAATTCTGTGATTCAGTGATTCTATGACCTCAACTACATTCATACAGTCACACCTTGGAAGTCAAACGGAGTCCGTTCCAGAAGTCTGTTCGACTTCCAAAACGTCCAGGAACCAAAGTGCAGCTTCTGATTGGCTGCAGGAAGCTCCTGCAGCCAATCAGAAGCTGCGGATGCCCCGTCAGACGTTTGGCTTCCAAAAACAGTTTGCAAACTGGAACAGTCACTTCCGAGTTTGCAGCGTTTGACTTGCAAGGCATTTGGGATCCAAGGTACGATTGTTTGCTCTTACAGTATGCAAGGAGGAGAAAAACAGAGAGTGGAAGTGGTATTGAATTAAGTGCCATGAACTAAGGCAGAGGTTGTTAAACTGTGGCCGCTTACCTGGCACTCAGAAATCTCCACGTGGTTGCAATTAGTGCCAGTATCAAACGCATCTGGCTAATTTCTAACACTGCTGCCAGGTGGGCATAAGGACATCAACAGAGCCTGGATCAAGCCAAAAGTCCATCTGGTCTAGCATCCTGTTCTCTCGCGGAGGCCAGCTTAGATGCCCCTGGGAAACCCCCAAACAGGGCCTGAAGGCAGCAACACTCTCCCCACAACGGTCCCCAGGATCTGGTATTCAGAAGTAGACTGTGATGGAGCATAGCCCTGATGGCCAGCAGGAGTTGATAGCCTTAACTGCTATGGACAGGCCTAATCCTCTCTTTAAGCCAGCCAAGTTGGTGGCCAGTCACGTTCTAAGGATGACGGCAGGGGAATGGGCACTGGGCACCCTGAACGGTCAAGGCCACAACATTGCTTCACATCTCATCTATTCTCATTCCTGCATATGTTTCAGGAGCATATATAGCTGGCTGATATCAGAAGTGGATCACCAATCTAAATGGCCTGACTCCCCAATGCAATTTATCTCGCACCTAAAATCAGGACTGCTGTACCTCAGGGATGTGGCAAATGCTTTCCTGGCAAATGGCCACCCACAACATGCATTTAAAGCACACCCAACGCACTTTGAAAGCATGTAATTTCACCCAGAGAATCCCAGGAAATATAATTTCGACCTTCCAGAGCTATAATTCCCGGCACCTTTCTTTTTAAAAAAAGTTACAGTTGAGGGAATTGGGTATGTTTAGCCTGATGAAGAGGAGACTCAGAGGAGATAAGCTAGCCATCTTCTAATATCTCAAGGGCTGTCACGTGGAAGAGGGAACAAGCTTGTTTTCTCTTGCTCTGCTGGAGGGCAGGACTCGAACCCATGGCTTCAAGTTACAAGAAAGGAGATTCCCACTAAACATCAGGAAGAACTTTCTGACAGTAAGAGCTGTTCAACAGTCTCCCTCGGGAGGTGGTGGACTCTCCTTCCTTGGAGATTTTTAGGCAGAGGTTGGATGGCCATCTGTCATGGATGCTATAGTTGAGATTCCTGCATTGCAGGGGGTTAGACTAGATGACCCTTAGGGGTCCCTTCCAACTCTACAATTCTATAGTTCCCAGGATTCTTTTGGGGGGTAGTCCTGTGCTTTAAATGTATGGGGTGGATCTGTCCTGAAGGAATCAATGGCAGTGGATGATCTGCTTTCAATTTAAAACATTCACAAACATAGCCAACATCAAAAATATATACTGCAACCTATTTTCTTTCCAGTGCTTCAAAACCCATTTTTAACTGATGCCGGAAAATAAAACAACCTCGGATTTCTCTGAAAACAAGCTCCTCACTAACAATGAGGGAAGCTGGAGAGAAAAGAGAGGGAGATTTTCATATGGCTGTCAGGACCACAGACAGGCACGATCTCTCCTAAATGCAACAATGTTCGCTTCCTGACTATCCTTCTTCTGCAGGGTGGATTGAGAACATAAGAAGAAGCTGCAGGATCAGGCCAATGGCTCATCTGAGTCCAGCATCCTGACCTCACAGTGGCCAACCAGATGCAGGATTCGAACACCTCTCCCCTCCTGTGGTTTCCAGCAAAGAGTATTGAGAAGCATTGGAGCTTCTCACCAGCGGCCATTGACAGCCCTTTACTCTGTGAATTTGTCCAATCCGCTTTGAAAGGTTGGTGCTCATCACCGCCTCCTGAGGACATCTGGACGTCCTTTTCCTGGTGCATTCACGATTCGTACTCATGGTGCTATGGGGAGGTCGCAGCTGACCCCACTTTCAATCCTCCTTTTACCTGCAAAGGCTTTGGGGCAGAGATACCGCTTCATTTCCAATCAGTGCCTAACCCGTAACTTCCAGCTGAGATCCCAAATCTTTTCACACCACAAACGTTCAGAGAGGGTGCATACAATGGAGGCTGCATTTCAGCCACACAAACACACACCCCTCCATCCCTCCGCTCAGGCAAGGAAGAGGCATTGCCACAGTTCAAGAACACACTCCATCTGGCAAAAGCAACAGAGAGCAGGGGGAGGGACTTGGGGAGACCCCACAGGGCCAGACAGTGTTGCCTCGAGGGCCACCGGTGCTCTACAGAAGTATCTTTATCCCCAGTTGAACGTATGAAGCCCATACGGCGTCAGATTATTGGTAAAACTAACCCAGAACTGTCAGCTCTGGCTGGCAGAGACTCTGAAGACCCAGTGCAGTGAGAGGCATTTCCCATCGCCTGCAATGTTTTCTTCTTCCTCTTGTAATCTGGAGGTCAGAGTGGGATCTTCTGCAGGCAAAACAGGGGCTTGAACCCTGAGCTATATATACACCCCCACCACAGAGATCAGAGTTCCCTGCAGATCCCAGCAGATAAGCAGACCCCAGATCAGCTTACTACACTTTTAGAGTGACCGACTTTCACCTCTTTATCTTCATGGCAATGCTCGTTTTTATGCGCAAGCTCTAGAAGCATGCATGCTAAAATAATTAATGAATTTCCCAACTGGGCTTCCTCCAGATGTTTCAGGTGACAGTTCTCATCAGCCCCAGGCAGAAACATCTGGAGAGCACCTGGCTGGGATTTCTGGGACAAGGGACATAGGTGCTTTGGAAACCTTTTAAGAAGTTTGGGAGACGGGCGCTTAGGTGTAGCGCACCTGTGGCTGTCCTGATTTTGCAGAACAGCTCCTCCCATGAACTCCAGCAAACATGGGAGGTGCAGGCCAAAGGTCCCCCTCCTAGCAGAAAGAGGGAATCCAGCATTAGAAAGGAAGGGCAAGCCACATTTTTGGGAAAGTTAGAAGACATCTGAAGGCAGCCCTGTTTAGGGAAGCTTTTAATGTTTCAATGCATTACTATATTTTAATATTTTGTTGGAAGCCGCCCAGAGTGGCTGGGGAAGCCCAGCCAGATGGGCGGGATAGAAATAATTTTTTATTATTATTATTATTATTATTATTATTATTATTATTATTATTATTATTTTCATCCACCATGGATCATCAATCCAAACTGGTGTGTCCTAAGCAAAGAGAATCAGCCTTTCCCAAAGAGCAAGAAACAGATCTAGATTAATTAGACAAGACAATCAGCATGCACATGCCCACCAACAACGAAAATCGGGTTCATTGGTTAATAACGAATTTTTGTGATCTGGCAGTGCTCAAAACACACTCATTTACTCTTTGCTTGTGTGCCCCAAAGGGGGAAATGGCTACTCAGGTTTTCAGCATGGTCCAGAAAGGGTCAAGGAAAAGCCAGCTGAAGTCAGTACCTGTTGGCCTGTGCCCATGACATCACCGACACGCCAGCAAGCCAACCCTGGAGCAGGGCCACAGCTGGCTTGTTAACAACACTGTCTTGGTTTTTAGGAGGAGATGGACACATTGCATACTCTTTCCATCGGAGGGAGGGAAGTGGGTCAGCCCAACTGAAGTACAACGGGGAGAGAAAACAGAAGACGGAGGCATCTCTTCGGCACGGGAAGCAAGTCACTGATTTGACAGCCAGCTAGGTAGCCTGAACATTTGCAGCACCAGTTGCGATTGGGAGAACTCTTCTACGAACACTCTTTAAAAGAAACAAGTCTGTCTGTGGTGCAGCATACCAGGGATAGCTCAGTTGGTAGAGCACGAGACTCTTAATCTCAGGGTCGGGGGTTCCAGCTCTACACTGGGCAAATGATTCCTGCATTGCAGGGGGTTGGACTAGATGACCCTCATGGTACCCCTTCCAACTCTACAATCCTACGTCCAGGGGATTTCTTCCCAGCTCTACAAAATAAGATCTATCAAGGGCATGGGACAATCCCATGCAACAACAGGATGATTTGCTGGGTTGCAATTCCTGCGCCCCTCCCTCCAGCATCCAGAATCACATGGAGGCTAAAAATATAAACATCCCCCAAGTATGGAATGCAAACAGAGAGCCAGCCAACCTTCTCCATTCTCCTTTCTGGGGGTTAACAGTGAGTTTCTGTTGTATTTGCATCAGCATAATGCATGAGCGATGCACATCATGTTCCGACGTAACGCTGGTTTGCAAACCCATTACAAACCACAGCTTTCCTCCTCCTTTTACAAGGAGACCTGCTTTGCATCGGCTTACCTTGAAATTACTGTTGGTGCCAGGAAGGGAATGAAGAACTAGATGATAATTGGTTGTTTTCCCCTTTTATCCTCTGGAAGGAGAAGCTATTCCCATCTCGTTTGTGATTTGCAAACCATGGTTTGTAGGGCAGCCCCCCATTAACAGCCACGCCAGAGAGAAAAAGCTAAAAGGAATAACTTTGCAGCAGCCGAGAGGGTATTCTGAAATTATTGCAATAAGCTTTATAGAAAAAAGTACAATACAGTTAAGAGATGCAAATTTCAATTTCTTTGCTCTAGGCAGAGACTAACAGCGGCTTTCAGCATGACAGGTAGCGCCACCAGCCAGAGGAACTGCAGCGCACCGGGCTGGGAGCTCATCCTGCCATGCCCAAAAACCACGCTAACAGGCACTGTTCTAAAGCAAACTTGTGGAAGAATGAACTAGAACGAGCGTTTCAAACCCCCCTCCCCCACCTGATGCAAAGATCAGCGAAAATGGCCCTAATCTACGTCATCTGTCATTACTTCACAGTTTGGGAAATTAAGTCTTCGTATTTTATGCGTGCTTCGGAGTCATGCAACCAGCCAGCCAGTCTAAGTGGGGAGGGTTTGCTACTGTTGAACATTTGCATTCTCTTCTGTAGGGCAGGGGGGAGCACAACCAACCATTAATTTCCTCGAAGGGAAGCAAAGAGAAAATTACATCCCTCTCTCTCTCTCTCTCTCAGGTCAGGTCCTTCCTCCGCAAATGTTTCTGTGCTGAGCTGCCTAACAGTTGGGTAGTAGCTCTTTGGTGGCTGGGAAACAGAAATAGTATTTTTGGGGGGTTGGGGGGTGAGTTGAAGAGAACTGAGTCAGCTTCAACTGACGACAGTAAAAGCAGGGGGCGTGTTGGGGTTGCAGGGTTCCAGCTAATGGAGCCCTATTGGACTCAGTTGCTGTCAGGGGACAAACTCACCCCAGAGGGACGGCCTCGATTTGTTTAGAGCCAAGCAGGATTTGGTATCCCTCTCTTTTGCCAGGGAAAACTGGCTTTGCTGGAGGAAACGGGCTGTGCAAAGGAGAAAGGGAATAGAGTTTTCTTGCTCTCCCGGAGAAAATCCAAGTTTTATGTGTCCAGGGTTTCCCCCCATTTCTTTCTCCAACCATGAAGACCGTGGCTGCAGGTTGCACCCAAAGCTAGCAGCGTAGACCCTCTGGAATCAATGAGCCTGAGTTAGTCATGCCCATTGATTCCATTAGGTCTACTCTGAGTAAGGCTAGCACTGGATGCAAGATCCCCGCCCCCTTGTTCCTTAAACACAGGGGGCTACAGCTGATGGAGAGAGGCGAAAGAGAAAGGTCAGCTTTAAACTTTTTTCTCACTGCCCAGTGATTCCAGGGGACACCCCCCCCCCCGCAATGCAGTTCTAAAGGCAATTAAACTGCCACCCTAAATCCACTTACTTGTACAATAGCGACACTGAAATCCATGGGCCTACTCCAGAAAGAAGCTGTTTGAAGATGGCAGCTCAACAGCCTTTCTTTGGCGAACTACTGACTCTGGAGTAATTTGTCAATTTCAGTGGGACTACTCAAAAGCAAGGCAGCAAGACCTTTCTCTGCTAGAAGAATGTCATGGTGGCGAGTGTGTGTGTTTGGGAGCAGAAGGGGAGATGATTCTGCTATAAACCTGTTGTTCCCTGAAGCTTGGAGGTCTGTAAGGAATCAATCCTGACCATGCCAAGGTGACTGCTGTGTCAGCCTTCTCCTGCGCCTAGAGCTGAGGATGGGGCAATGGGTTAGCTGCAGGCAGAATAATGTGGGGTTTTCATGCACCAGGTTTTTTTTACATGTTTACTTGGCAGCAAGTCCGATTTTAGTTCAACAGGACTCACTTCCAGGGAAGTCTGCTCAGGATCCCAGCTTTCCCCCTATTTGGGGGCAGATTAGAATTGGGGCCAAATAATTCCTAACACTCCCAGTTCTCCCCAGATTGGAGCCTATCGCTGCATAGTCCTGTGTCCAGAATGGGGAGATTCCTTCTTAGCGGGTGACGGTTTGGGAGGCATTTTAAATTATAATTAGACAAAGCACACGCACACCCCATGTTGGGAGGGCTGGGCGTACCTTAGTGGGTAAAAAGCTGAGTGCCCCCAAGTAGGGTGCAACTGGAAAACGTGTCCCTTTGGTTTGTGGGAGGTGGGGGAGAGATTGCCCACACAGTCCCCTCGAGGCTGGCTTTAGGGTGCCTGCAGAGCCAGTCGTGATCCACCCTTGGGGTTGAGGGGGTCCTCTGCACCAGGCCTGGGGCGATGTCCCTGCACCCCCCCCAAACAGGTAGAGTTTTGGACAAGTTTGCAGAGCTGGGTAGTGGGTTTCCACTTGTCCGTCCATCCCCCCCACTTTGGAAGACCAGAAAGGAAGGTGTCACCACCGCCCTTCTCAAGTTGTTTTTTTTTGGGGGGGGGATGAAGCTCCCCAGGCCTGCTGCCAGCTTGCCTCAGAGGTCTCCGGGGCTGGCCCGTCGCGGGTCGCTGTCCTGCTCATAGCGGTAGTGATACCCCTCCATCTGGTCCCGGCAGGCTTCTCGGAGATTGCTGAGCCACCGCTTGATGCCCTTTCGGTTGAGGTAGAGCACCATGAGGAAGACGACGCCGATGAGCGCCAGGACGATGCCGAAGAAGACGTACGAGGCCGTCTCCATCTCCTCTTCCTCGGCGCCGCCGGGCTCCAGCAGCGCCCAGTCCGCGCCGTCGAGGCATTCCAGCTGCAGGAGCCGTAGGCGCCACAGCAGCCGGTCCCGCAGCTGCGGCGGCGAGGCGCAGCGCAGCCGGCGCACCCCGGGAGCGCGCCACGTGGCGTTGCGCAGCCAGAGCAGCAGGGGCCGCAGCGAGGCGCAATCGCAGTGCAGCGGGTTCGAGTCCAGCAGCAGCCGCACGCGGCCCAGCGCCGCCAAGGCGTCCAGGCGCTCGGAGCGCAGCGCCCGCAGGGAGTTGTTGCGCAAGTCCAGCTCCTCCAAGCCCGGCGGCAGGGCCCAGGGGGCCGGCAGCTGCCGCAGCCGATTGCCGGCCAGCTCCAGGCGCACCAGGCTGAGGTTCAAGAGCGCGCCGTCCAACAGCTCGGCGAAGGGCGGCGCCCCGGGCGCCAGCAGCGCCTGGTTGAGGCGCAGCGTGCGCAACCGCGCGCAAGAGGCAAAGGCGCCCGGCGCTACGGAGCGCAACGGGTTGTGGCTCAGGTCCAGCGTGGCCAGAGAGGGGAGGCCGGCGAAGGTCGCCTCCTCCAGCGTCTCGATGTGGTTGTGCGTCAGTACCAGCAGCGTCAAGTTGCCCAGCGGCCGAACGGGCTCGCCGCGGGCCCAGCCTCCAGCGAAGGCGGCCGTGCGCAGCACCGTCAGGTTGCCGCCGACGATGGAGAGGTTGTGCACGGCCCGGGGCAGCTCGTCGGGGGGCTCGAGGAGGCGCACGTAGCGGCACTGCACGGTGTCCGGCGTGGCGAAGCAGAAGCACGACGGGCAGCTCCGGCCCGCCTGCAGTAGCGGCAGCAGAAGCATGGCGGCGACGCCGGCCAGCAGCCCGACGAGGCGGCGGCACAGAAGGAGCCGTCCGGGGCGCCGGGCCATGCTATCCCCGCTTGGGCATCTCTGCGGGGCGCAGGGGACGGGTGGACGGAGCCCCCGTCGCCGCCGCCGCCTGCTTCCTGCCCGCCTTGCAGCTCCTCCTCCTTCTTCCTCGGCGGTGCGGCGGCGGAGTTAGACGGTCACCGAAGCTCCTGTCGCTGCGAGAAGCAGCCGGGGCTGCCCAGAGCCCGAGGAGACCCGGCGGCGGCGGTGACTCATGGCGGTGCGCGGCGTCTGCGGCGAGGGAGCAGGACCGGAGGCTTCCTCCACGCCGGTTCCGAGGGGGCGGAGAGGGGTCCTGGGTAGGGTGGGGGGCGGAGGATCGCGGGCGTCGGAGGAAGGCGGCTGGCGATCTCCTCTCTCCTCTCTCCCCTCGTCGCCTTTGGCTGGCAGGTTAGTGGCGCAGCGCCCGGACGGCAGAATTAGGGGAGAGACTCGCCCCTCCGCCGGCCAGGTGGTTTCTGGCTCGAGGTTGGGGCGAGGGAGGGGCGGGCAGCGGCTGCCTGAGATTGGCTGGCAGAGGCTGAGCGCAGGCCCGCTTCCCAGCCGGCCGGGACAGATGGAGGGAGGCGGGGAAGAGGGCGTCCCTCGCCCGCAGGGGCGTCCCCCCGCCCCAGCCCTGAGGTGAAGCTGCGAGGCCTGACCTGGAAGCCCCCTCCAGGATCAAGAAAGCGCTCCCCCTGTCTGAGGCTGGCCCCGTCCAAGTTAAGAAGCCATCGCGGGGGCAGCTTTTCCAGGGCCGGGTGTGTGGGTGTGTGTCCAAGAAAGGCTCTGCGCCGAGAAGGGGACAGGGAACGCCTCCCCACTCCAGACCCTGGGAGCTCTGGGGCAGAGCGTTCCCCAGCCGTCTAAGTGTCTCCGCTGCAGGTCCCTTCCTCCTGCCTTCCATACGAGTGGATGGAGACTTTTTTGCGCCATTCGTGCCTTAGGCAAAGCAGGGGAAGGCGTGCCAAAAATGCGATCGGGGTGTGTGTGTGTGTGTGGTGGTGGTGGCTGCGAGGAGGACACCAGTAAGCCCCCCGTCTCGCGAGCCAACTCCACTATGTTCTGTTATGCACAAAGCGATGCATTCCCCCCTCCCCCCAGTGTTTCCGTGCCATGAAGTTTATCTGCTGCAATTTTATCCTGCCTTTCAGGATGCACGTCCTCTCAAGGCGGCTTACAAGCAACCTCTAATAAACACCGCACCAACAAAACCCCAGCAAACAGTACCAAAATATAAGAAGTCGACAAGGTGGGTGATGGGTGGATGAGAGAAGGTCGCAGGGTGGCTGGGGTAGGGGCAGACCAGCAGGTCTGGAGCAGCATCAGGCCGCTGGTGTTAGGGACGCTGGTGGCACTGTGGTCTAAACCACTGATCCTCTTGGGCTTGCCAATCGATCAACGGTTTGAATCCCTGCAAGAGAGTGAGCTCCCGTTGCTCTGTCTCAGCTCCTGCCAACCTAGCACTTTGAAAGCACACCAGTGCAAGTAGATAAATAGGCGGGAAGGTAAACGGCGTTTCCGTGCTCTCTGGTTTCCGTCAGTTTTCCGTTGCACCAGAAGCAGTTTAGTCCTGCTGGCCACATGACCCAGAAAGCTGTCTGTGGACAAACACCAGCTCTCTCGGCCTGAAAGCGAGATGAGCGCTGCAACCCCATAGTCGCCTTGGACTGGACTTAACTGTTCAGGGGTCCTTTACCTTTACCATTAGGGTTGCCTGCCTGCCTCCCTTGCAGCTTGGCTTGGGCATTCAAGCAGTTTGCGTGGCCCATGTGGGGAGAGACAGGAGGACTGCTGCACATCGTCAGAGTCTGTCTGTCTGTCTGTCTGTCTCTTGTTACTGGATTCTAGGACAGGCAACCTGACCTTAAAGACTCCAGTTGCGTGATGCAAACTTTGTCATCTGCCATGCACCCCGTTTGGGTAGCGAAGTTGTGGTTGGTGACAGATGCAGGATGCGGTCCTCCACGGGCTGCAATGGTGATGGTTTACCTCCACGTCCAACTGTCCGGATCCAAATTGCATTCAAGTTGACGCAGGGTTATTCACACATACATGCCAGAATGGAGAACGGTTGCATTTACATGCCACCTGAGTGGCACATACAGTTCTCCCCCTCCTCATTTTATCCTCACAACACTCTGTGAGGGAGGTTGGGCTGAAAGGCATCGACTGGCACCCAAGGTCACCCTGTGAGCTTCATGGCCGAGTTGGGATTTGAACCCTGCTCTCCCAGGTACTGGTCTGACGCTCTAACCACTACACCATGCTGGCTCTCAGCGGGGCCTGCTTCTCCCTTGCCATTCAAAGCATTTCACCCAAGCAGCTGAGGAAATGCTTTAGCCGAGAGCCCTTGCCTTGCACGGGGTTGGACTAGATGACCCTTGGGGGTCCCCTTCCAATTCTGTGATTCTAAAATTCTACAAATACCTTTCTTAACCAGAGACCTTGAACTGCAGCTGTCAATCAGGGTAAACAATGCTGGACGGACCAGCGATTTCACTCATCTCAGGGCATACGCTGAGCCTGCTGGATCTGGCCAGTGGCAGATAATCCAGTCCAGCATCCTGTTCTCGCAGGGGCCGACCAGATGCCTTTCCTGGGAAGCCTGCAAGCAGACCTGGAGTGCAGCAGCGCTGTCCCCTCCTGCAGCTTCCAGCGGCTCCTTCGCAGTCCAAAGCAGCAGCTGGTGCAATCTGCCGCTCTTGTGGTTGTTGAGCTCCTTGGTTTTGTGATGGGGATCTGGACAGAGCTGCAAGGCTTCAGCATGGAACTCCCTTCCAAGGGGAGGCAGGCATCCCCCCGCTTTTCCTTGCGTTCAGGAAACGTGCAAAGACTCCCTTATTTATCGGGGCTTTCGGCAGGCGGCTTTTACGGAGTTTTTACAGGATGTTATAGGGCTGTTTTGATTCAATTATCGCAAGCTCCCCTGGGCTCCCTGCAGCGAGGAAGGGTGGGTGATAAATCTGAAATAACAACATGCTAACTGTTGCACTCGGGCCCTGCTTGTGGGGTTCCCATGGGTGCCTGGGGGGCTGCTGTGGGAACAGGATGCCGGACCCGATGGAACATTTGCCTGATCACAGGAGCCTAGGAAGCTGCATTGCGAAAAGGAAGGCTGCAAAGTTTGGGGCTTTTTCGTTTGGAGAAAAGGCGAGGAAGAGACGACAGGATAGAAGTTTATGAAATTATGCACGGCATGGAGAAAAGTGCACAGAGAAAAGCTTTTATTCCACCTCTCATAATGCCGGAACTTGTGGATCTCCATTGAAGCTCAGTGTTGGAAGACTCAGTGCAGATAAGAGAAAGTCCTTAATAGTTAAACTATGGAACTCCCTGCCACAGGAAGCAGTGATGTCCACCAATGGGATGGCTTTAAATGAGGATTCAATAAATTCAGGGAGGAGAGGGCTATCAATGGCTGCTCATCAGGATGGCTGTGTTCTGCCTCTAGGGCCAGATGCAGCGATGCTTCTGAATCCCAGTTGTTGGAAAGCCCAGGAGGGGAGAATGGGTCTTGGGCCTGAATCCTGCTTGCCTGGTTTCCCATAGGTATCTTGTTGGCCACTGTGAGAACAGGAGACTGGACTAGACCAGGGGTGGACTAGACCAGGAGTCTTTCTGTGGGATGTGAAACACAAGAGCAGTCAAGTACAACATTCCTAGAGTGAACATGTTTACACATGGGGAGGAATGTTTGTCCAGCCAGCAGGTAAACTTCCAGTTTCCTTCTGAGCTGGGACAGACTTCCTCTGCATGTGACTAGAGGTGGGCGTGGCCTCACCTGTGCAGGTAATGGCAAAAGCACAGGGCAGGGCAGCCACCTTTCTCTTCTTTGACTACATGCATCAAGAAGCAACATCTGCTTAGCCAAAGATGTTCTCTTGCCCTCCAGCCAAGAGAGGACAAAGGGACTGTCTTCTTATGAGATAGTTTCCAGGTATATGTTACTTTTCTAAACTAAATTTGCCTTCTGGGATCCTATTGTGAACAGAATGATGTGTGAGTAAACCTTTTTATACTTTTATAGAAGACTGTGTCGTGTCTTATCTTTTTATGAGGGAATAAGGGGAAAATACCAGGACAGTTATTATAGAGGCTTTAGCGAGCCTGAGCAAATGCATCCGCTGCAAGTTTAAAAAGGGGAATGTTACTCTGCTAAATTGTGAACTTGTTAACACAAGTTGTAAAGGCTATTATCAGACAATATATCCTCTCCTGCATCCCTGAACATTCCCACACTTTCAAATTCCAGCAGCGCCCTGGGAGAGGTCAAAATTCGGCACCCTCCCCACCACCTCTTGCCTTCTGTTCTGCTTAAGGCACTGCAACATAGTCGCAGGATTAGACCTTGGGGTCCCTTCCAACTCTATGATTCTGTGATAGTTGAGGTGTCCTGCAGCGCCCCCTGGGCTCGGCTCCCAGTGTGGCAGAACCAGTTGCAGTGCCCTAAATCCTCCTCTGGCTAGATGAGCCATTGGCCTTATCCAGTATGCTCTCCCATGACTTCTTCTTCTTCTTCTTCCTCCTCCCCTGCCTGCTGATCCTTTGAATGGTAAATGCCGAAAACTGACCCTGGGAACCTCTGCATGCCAAGCAAATGCTCTGCCGTGCAGCTGTGGAAATGCCCTGATTGCGAGAGGGTGAGATCTTTTGAACACAGCAGCCCATTTCCTTTTGGGGTGGATGGGTGTACCTGTCAATGAGGCCAGAGACAATAATAATAATAATAATAATAATAATAATAATAATAATAATAATAATATTTTTATTTGTTCCCCAGCCATTTGACTGGGTTGCCACAGGCATTCTCCGTGGCTTCCAACAAACTACAGTCATACCTCTTGTTATGTTTGGTTCAGGTTACATCTTTTCAGGTTGCGTCCTGCGGCGACCTGGAAGTACCGGAAAGGGTTACTTCCAGGTTTCACCACTCGCGCATGCACAGACGTGCAAAATGACGTCACATGCATGCACAGAAGTGGCAAATCATGACCCGCGTGTGCGCAGACATGCAGACACGGGTTGCGTTCTGTTCCGGTTGCGAACGGGGCTCCAGAACAGATCCCGTTCACAACCAGATGTACTACTGTACAGTGGTACCCTGCAAGACGAACGCCTCGCAAGATGGAAAACCCGCTAGACGAAGCTCCGAAGCCGGGTGGCAGGGCGGGAACGCCTTCTCCCGCCGCCTGGCATCGGAACAAAGCTCCGATGCCAGGCGGCGGGGCGGGAACGCCTCCTCCCGCCGCCCGGCATCGGAACAAAGCTCCGATGCCGGGTGGCGGGGCGGGAACGCCTTCTCCCGCCGCCCAGCATCGGAACAAAGCTCCGATGCCGGGCGGCGGGGCGGGAACGCCTCCTCCCGCCGCCCGGCATCGGAACGAAGCTCGCCTTCCCCTCTGTTCCCGTACCTGTCCTGAAGGCTTGCGGTGGGGAGAAAAGCCCTTCTCCGCACTGCCAGCCTGGCAAGCGGTTTCCCTAGGAACGCATTAATTGATTTTCAATGCATTCCTAT